GGCACGGCCGGACGCCCTCCCGTGGCGATGAGGATGTGAGGAGCCGTGTACTTCTTCCCCTCCACCAGGACGGTGGGTTGGGGGTCGGCGGTGAAGCTCCCGTAGCCCCGAATGATGTCAATGTGAGCCTTGTGGGGGGGATAAACACACACACACAGGTGATTAACAGGAGGAGAACCAGCTAATGAAGCTTCCACAGCTGGGACAAACCCAGCAGCACCTCCCAAGGTCCAGGCATCCTCCTCACCTTCTTGACGTTGCCCTCGTAGATCTGGTTCAGGCGCCTGACGTAGGCATCACGCTTCTCTTTGATGGTTCTGGAACAGAGCAGGCGTTTCCCGCTGCCACCGCTGAATGAACCCACCCAGCTCAGCACAAAAACTAAATCCCTGCAGGAACGTGGTACCCAAAAAACAACAACCTGCCCTGACTGCCCCAGCACAGGTTCCTGTGCCTCCCTTTCCCGCGTTTTCCTTCCGCACTTTTTTTCCCTTCTCACGCCGCTCTCCGCAAATCCGTCGGGAATCCGTGGATACTGTGGCCGCGTGCAGTGGAATTAAATGAGGGGACCCCCGGGGGACCCTGTGGCAGGTGAGGCACACGGGTCCCTTCCCACACTGACCTCCAGCAGAACCTGACGCCGGGCGTTTCGAAGCCGTAGTCGGGGTGGTCGTGGATGAGCTCGGCGTGGGTGGCCGCGTTCCACATCACCTGCCCGCACACAACTCAAGCTGTCTGGCCCAGTTGGTTTTTTTTTGGGGGGGAAAAAAACCAAACCACCCCCCCCCCCAGGGTCAGGGTGCTTCGAAGCATCTGGCTGGCTCAGTCGTGCTGCTGAGTCTCTGCTCCCTCCTCCCCACGCCCTGGGCACGGCACCCAAGCCAAGTCCTTACCTTCTTGGGCACACACCCCACATTGACCTGGGAGGGGGGGAAAAGAAGAGTGTTAAGGCTCAGGTTGTGTTGTTTTTTTCCCCCAAGATGGACCCTACGTCAGGCCTGGACCCCATCCCGACTCTCCAGCCAAGGAAATAAAGGCAGGGTGAGGGGTTTCTGGCTTGTCCCCACCCCCAGCACCTCGTGGTTTGCCCCGTTCCCTGTCACTTCCTTAGGGGAGAAGATGGAACACGCCGAGTTTTCAACCACAAGGGCTCGGTGTGTTTGTTTTTCCCACCGGCAATGACACATTCCCGAGGAGAAGGGTGTTTCCCACCCCTTCCCTGCACCTCTGCCCCCCCTTCCCAGGGGGGATGCATCTCAAAACAAATCCGTCCCGGGCGCGTTTGAGGAAGAAGTTGGGGCTGTTGTGTTTGGTTTTCTTTTCGTCTATTTCCTGCTTCTAGTTCTGCTTTGCAGCTTTTCCAGCGGTCACTGCCCTGAACTGCTGTGCCCACAGACCGGGAAACATCCCAGAGGGGAAGGAATCGGCCCCATCCCGCCCCGCATCCCAAGCTCAGCCTGACAAGGAAGGTCCTTGAACAACGTTCCGGGACCGGGACCGGGAGCAGCCCTTGGGGGGGACAGGGATCACCCCCTCGAGATTCCCGGGATCAGCCCCTGGAGGAACCGGGATCAGCCCCTGGAGGACCGGGATCAGCTCCGGGGAACCGGGATCAGCCCCGGGGGAACCGGGATCAGCCCCGGGGAACTGGGATCAGCCCGGGGGAACCGGGATCAGCCCCGGGGGAACCGGGATCAGCCCCGGGGAACTGGGATCAGCCCGGGGGAACCGGGATCAGCCCCGGGGGAACCGGGATCAGCCCCGGGGAACTGGGATCAGCCCGGGGGAACCGGGATCAGCCCCGGGGGAACCGGGATCAGCCCCGGGGAACTGGGATCAGCCCGGGGGAACCGGGATCAGCCCCGGGGGAACCGGGATCAGCCCCGGGGAACTGGGATCAGCCCGGGGGAACCGGGATCAGCCCCGGGGGAACCGGGATCAGCCCCGGGGAACTGGGATCAGCCCGGGGGAACCGGGATCAGCCCCGGGGGAACCGGGATCAGCCCCGGGGAACTGGGATCAGCCCGGGGGAACCGGGATCAGCCCCGGGGGAACCGGGATCAGCCCCGGGGAACTGGGATCAGCCCGGGGGAACCGGGATCAGCCCCGGGGGAACCGGGATCAGCCCCGGGGAACTGGGATCAGCCCGGGGGAACCGGGATCAGCCCCGGGGGAACCGGGATCAGCCCCGGGGAACTGGGATCAGCCCGGGGGAACCGGGATCAGCCCCGGGGGAACCGGGATCAGCCCCGGGGAACTGGGATCAGCCCGGGGGAACCGGGATCAGCCCCGGGGGAACCGGGATCAGCCCCGGGGAACTGGGATCAGCCCGGGGGAACCGGGATCAGCCCCGGGGGAACCGGGATCAGCCCCGGGGAACTGGGATCAGCCCGGGGGAACCGGGATCAGCCCCGGGGGAACCGGGATCAGCCCCGGGGAACTGGGATCAGCCCGGGGGAACCGGGATCAGCCCCGGGGGAACCGGGATCAGCCCCGGGGAACTGGGATCAGCCCGGGGGAACCGGGATCAGCCCCGGGGGAACCGGGATCAGCCCCGGGGAACTGGGATCAGCCCGGGGGAACCGGGATCAGCCCCGGGGGAACCGGGATCAGCCCCGGGGAACTGGGATCAGCCCGGGGGAACCGGGATCAGCCCCGGGGGAACCGGGATCAGCCCCGGGGAACTGGGATCAGCCCGGGGGAACCGGGATCAGCCCCGGGGGAACCGGGATCAGCCCCGGGGAACTGGGATCAGCCCGGGGGAACCGGGATCAGCCCCGGGGGAACCGGGATCAGCCCCGGGGAACTGGGATCAGCCCGGGGGAACCGGGATCAGCCCCGGGGGAACCGGGATCAGCCCCGGGGAACTGGGATCAGCCCGGGGGAACCGGGATCAGCCCCGGGGGAACCGGGATCAGCCCCGGGGAACTGGGATCAGCCCGGGGGAACCGGGATCAGCCCCGGGGGAACCGGGATCAGCCCCGGGGAACTGGGATCAGCCCGGGGGAACCGGGATCAGCCCCGGGGGAACCGGGATCAGCCCCGGGGAACTGGGATCAGCCCGGGGGAACCGGGATCAGCCCCGGGGGAACCGGGATCAGCCCCGGGGAACTGGGATCAGCCCGGGGGAACCGGGATCAGCCCCGGGGGAACCGGGATCAGCCCCGGGGAACTGGGATCAGCCCGGGGGAACCGGGATCAGCCCCGGGGGAACCGGGATCAGCCCCGGGGAACTGGGATCAGCCCGGGGGAACCGGGATCAGCCCCGGGGGAACCGGGATCAGCCCCGGGGAACTGGGATCAGCCCGGGGGAACCGGGATCAGCCCCGGGGGAACCGGGATCAGCCCCGGGGAACTGGGATCAGCCCGGGGGAACCGGGATCAGCCCCGGGGGAACCGGGATCAGCCCCGGGGAACTGGGATCAGCCCGGGGGAACCGGGATCAGCCCCGGGGGAACCGGGATCAGCCCCGGGGAACTGGGATCAGCCCGGGGGAACCGGGATCAGCCCCGGGGGAACCGGGATCAGCCCCGGGGAACTGGGATCAGCCCGGGGGAACCGGGATCAGCCCCGGGGGAACCGGGATCAGCCCCGGGGAACTGGGATCAGCCCGGGGGAACCGGGATCAGCCCCGGGGGAACCGGGATCAGCCCCGGGGAACTGGGATCAGCCCGGGGGAACCGGGATCAGCCCCGGGGGAACCGGGATCAGCCCCGGGGAACTGGGATCAGCCCGGGGGAACCGGGATCAGCCCCGGGGGAACCGGGATCAGCCCCGGGGAACTGGGATCAGCCCGGGGGAACCGGGATCAGCCCCGGGGGAACCGGGATCAGCCCCGGGGAACTGGGATCAGCCCGGGGGAACCGGGATCAGCCCCGGGGGAACCGGGATCAGCCCCGGGGAACTGGGATCAGCCCGGGGGAACCGGGATCAGCCCCGGGGGAACCGGGATCAGCCCCGGGGAACTGGGATCAGCCCGGGGGAACCGGGATCAGCCCCGGGGGAACCGGGATCAGCCCCGGGGAACTGGGATCAGCCCGGGGGAACCGGGATCAGCCCCGGGGGAACCGGGATCAGCCCCGGGGAACTGGGATCAGCCCGGGGGAACCGGGATCAGCCCCGGGGGAACCGGGATCAGCCCCGGGGAACTGGGATCAGCCCGGGGGAACCGGGATCAGCCCCGGGGGAACCGGGATCAGCCCCGGGGAACTGGGATCAGCCCGGGGGAACCGGGATCAGCCCCGGGGGAACCGGGATCAGCCCCGGGGAACTGGGATCAGCCCGGGGGAACCGGGATCAGCCCCGGGGGAACCGGGATCAGCCCCGGGGAACTGGGATCAGCCCGGGGGAACCGGGATCAGCCCCGGGGGAACCGGGATCAGCCCCGGGGAACTGGGATCAGCCCGGGGGAACCGGGATCAGCCCCGGGGGAACCGGGATCAGCCCCGGGGAACTGGGATCAGCCCGGGGGAACCGGGATCAGCCCCGGGGGAACCGGGATCAGCCCCGGGGAACTGGGATCAGCCCGGGGGAACCGGGATCAGCCCCGGGGGAACCGGGATCAGCCCCGGGGAACTGGGATCAGCCCGGGGGAACCGGGATCAGCCCCGGGGGAACCGGGATCAGCCCCGGGGAACTGGGATCAGCCCGGGGGAACCGGGATCAGCCCCGGGGGAACCGGGATCAGCCCCGGGGAACTGGGATCAGCCCGGGGGAACCGGGATCAGCCCCGGGGGAACCGGGATCAGCCCCGGGGAACTGGGATCAGCCCGGGGGAACCGGGATCAGCCCCGGGGGAACCGGGATCAGCCCCGGGGAACTGGGATCAGCCCGGGGGAACCGGGATCAGCCCCGGGGGAACCGGGATCAGCCCCGGGGAACTGGGATCAGCCCGGGGGAACCGGGATCAGCCCCGGGGGAACCGGGATCAGCCCCGGGGAACTGGGATCAGCCCGGGGGAACCGGGATCAGCCCCGGGGGAACCGGGATCAGCCCCGGGGAACTGGGATCAGCCCGGGGGAACCGGGATCAGCCCCGGGGGAACCGGGATCAGCCCCGGGGAACTGGGATCAGCCCGGGGGAACCGGGATCAGCCCCGGGGGAACCGGGATCAGCCCCGGGGAACTGGGATCAGCCCGGGGGAACCGGGATCAGCCCCGGGGGAACCGGGATCAGCCCCGGGGAACTGGGATCAGCCCGGGGGAACCGGGATCAGCCCCGGGGGAACCGGGATCAGCCCCGGGGAACTGGGATCAGCCCGGGGGAACCGGGATCAGCCCCGGGGGAACCGGGATCAGCCCCGGGGAACTGGGATCAGCCCGGGGGAACCGGGATCAGCCCCGGGGGAACCGGGATCAGCCCCGGGGAACTGGGATCAGCCCGGGGGAACCGGGATCAGCCCCGGGGGAACCGGGATCAGCCCCGGGGAACTGGGATCAGCCCGGGGGAACCGGGATCAGCCCCGGGGGAACCGGGATCAGCCCCGGGGAACTGGGATCAGCCCGGGGGAACCGGGATCAGCCCCGGGGGAACCGGGATCAGCCCCGGGGAACTGGGATCAGCCCGGGGGAACCGGGATCAGCCCCGGGGGAACCGGGATCAGCCCCGGGGAACTGGGATCAGCCCGGGGGAACCGGGATCAGCCCCGGGGGAACCGGGATCAGCCCCGGGGAACTGGGATCAGCCCGGGGGAACCGGGATCAGCCCCGGGGGAACCGGGATCAGCCCCGGGGAACTGGGATCAGCCCGGGGGAACCGGGATCAGCCCCGGGGGAACCGGGATCAGCCCCGGGGAACTGGGATCAGCCCGGGGGAACCGGGATCAGCCCCGGGGGAACCGGGATCAGCCCCGGGGAACTGGGATCAGCCCGGGGGAACCGGGATCAGCCCCGGGGGAACCGGGATCAGCCCCGGGGAACTGGGATCAGCCCGGGGGAACCGGGATCAGCCCCGGGGGAACCGGGATCAGCCCCGGGGAACTGGGATCAGCCCGGGGGAACCGGGATCAGCCCCGGGGGAACCGGGATCAGCCCCGGGGAACTGGGATCAGCCCGGGGGAACCGGGATCAGCCCCGGGGGAACCGGGATCAGCCCCGGGGAACTGGGATCAGCCCGGGGGAACCGGGATCAGCCCCGGGGGAACCGGGATCAGCCCCGGGGAACTGGGATCAGCCCGGGGGAACCGGGATCAGCCCCGGGGGAACCGGGATCAGCCCCGGGGAACTGGGATCAGCCCGGGGGAACCGGGATCAGCCCCGGGGGAACCGGGATCAGCCCCGGGGAACTGGGATCAGCCCGGGGGAACCGGGATCAGCCCCGGGGGAACCGGGATCAGCCCCGGGGAACTGGGATCAGCCCGGGGGAACCGGGATCAGCCCCGGGGGAACCGGGATCAGCCCCGGGGAACTGGGATCAGCCCGGGGGAACCGGGATCAGCCCCGGGGGAACCGGGATCAGCCCCGGGGAACTGGGATCAGCCCGGGGGAACCGGGATCAGCCCCGGGGGAACCGGGATCAGCCCCGGGGAACTGGGATCAGCCCGGGGGAACCGGGATCAGCCCCGGGGGAACCGGGATCAGCCCCGGGGAACTGGGATCAGCCCGGGGGAACCGGGATCAGCCCCGGGGGAACCGGGATCAGCCCCGGGGAACTGGGATCAGCCCGGGGGAACCGGGATCAGCCCCGGGGGAACCGGGATCAGCCCCGGGGAACTGGGATCAGCCCGGGGGAACCGGGATCAGCCCCGGGGGAACCGGGATCAGCCCCGGGGAACTGGGATCAGCCCGGGGGAACCGGGATCAGCCCCGGGGGAACCGGGATCAGCCCCGGGGAACTGGGATCAGCCCGGGGGAACCGGGATCAGCCCCGGGGGAACCGGGATCAGCCCCGGGGAACTGGGATCAGCCCGGGGGAACCGGGATCAGCCCCGGGGGAACCGGGATCAGCCCCGGGGAACTGGGATCAGCCCGGGGGAACCGGGATCAGCCCCGGGGGAACCGGGATCAGCCCCGGGGAACTGGGATCAGCCCGGGGGAACCGGGATCAGCCCCGGGGGAACCGGGATCAGCCCCGGGGAACTGGGATCAGCCCGGGGGAACCGGGATCAGCCCCGGGGGAACCGGGATCAGCCCCGGGGAACTGGGATCAGCCCGGGGGAACCGGGATCAGCCCCGGGGGAACCGGGATCAGCCCCGGGGAACTGGGATCAGCCCGGGGGAACCGGGATCAGCCCCGGGGGAACCGGGATCAGCCCCGGGGAACTGGGATCAGCCCGGGGGAACCGGGATCAGCCCCGGGGGAACCGGGATCAGCCCCGGGGAACTGGGATCAGCCCGGGGGAACCGGGGGGGGGGGGCTGACAACGGCAAGTTTATTGGGGTAGGGGGGGGCTGGGGTACAGCCAGGAGGGGTTGCAAGCACTTCCAGGACAAATATACAGAGGAGAGAGGGGAGAAATAACAAAATAAAACAATTAAAAATTAAAAAAAAAAGGCCAAAACAAACAAACAAAAAGACCAAGCAGGATCAACAGAGAGAGGGGCTCGAGCTAAAAAGGGAACAACTTTTATCCATGTTATGACCACGTACTCCCAAGCAGGAATCTCTTCCTTTCTCCAGTTCAGGTTGATGGGTCTTTCAGTAAAACACAAAGAGTGGTGGGGGAAGAAGTTAGTGTGCACCTCCCTCAGAGAAAAATCACCTCTAAGTCATGCCAGTTAACCACTAAGAACTAAAAATGTACAAAGAGCCAAAGGGGATGGAAGTGTTAACCAGAGTGACCTTTTTCCTCTCTGAACAGTCCAGAAGAAAAACAAACCAATGACTACAAATACAGCAGGCAAACAAACTGTTGGGCTGATGGGGTAGAAAGGTAAAGATAATAGTGTTGTAAGGAATTCAGTCTCAAGTTGTGCTAAATGCTCTTCGTCCTCTGTATGGCACGTTTTGGTCCATGATGGGGAGTTTGAAGTTGAGACGAACCCCGGGTTCTTACAGAAAGGTGTAAATATTGTTGCTCTTTAAAATATGCCAGGTTGTACTTCCCTCTACAAAGGTTTGGGAGAGGGTTTATAGGAAGTAGTCTGGGGTACGACGGGTAACGTGAGGCTCCCCACGACGAGGTGCTGGGTCAAACTGGAGGCTGCAGGAAAGCAACAAGGGTCATTTTTTTCCCCCCTCCACAAGGTGTTTTCCAACGTCCTAAGAAACACTGGACTCACTCTCTTGCTTTAATCATCCCATAACAGATTTCAGGTCCCAAAACAAGCACCCGTGGGAGTTCAACCTCATCAAGATGCTGCCTGGGGAGCAAACACCCCCCAGCAGTCAGCACATCTGCAGCCCATCACACCAACTCAGCTGAATGCAAAATCCAGACCCTCTCCCCCAGCTCTGCAAAGCCTAGTGCTACCAACAACAGAGACTGAAACCAACCTACCTTTGCTCTCACCAGCAAGCCTGGCCTATAGAGGGACTGAAAAAAATGCAGAAGCTCCTAACTCCTTCAGAGAGCCAGGACAAGGAGATGCTGCAGGACCCAAGAGGAGCTTTTAAGAGCTTAACTCACTCCTTAGTTTTTAGCTATTCGTGGAGGTAGAGCCCACAACCTTAACTCCAGAGTGGCTTAAGCTGGATTTTCCCAGCCCCTTTGGAAAGGATCAAGACATTCCTGACAATACAGGAGGAGAAGAGAGCAGCTCGAGCCAGGAATACTCACAAGGAATATTTTAAAGTGTCATCTAGTTCCATGATAGCAGCCTGGTTCCCGCAGCGGTAGCAGTAATTGGGTGCACTGAAGATGGTCACCACGTTTCGGTCGTGGCACCAGTTATAACCCTGCCACAAAAAGTAAAAATAAATTAAAAAAGAGAAAAGAAAGGTCTTTGTTAAACCTCAAACCTGTCTGAAGTTTCTTTTCAGGCCCGAGATGATCCAAGGCATTGATGAAACTGCAGACTTAGGAGAAGTCTTTTCAACCAACTTGGTTTCATTTTTAAAGGTGTAACTCTGCCAGAAGAACAAGCAGCAGGTCCCTGGCAAAACCAGCCTCAGTCACTGCTCAGAGAGGTGGGTCACTTGTCACTTGTGTGTCTCTCCATTGTTTTAATACAAACTATGGACCCACATCACACGGAAACCTGGAGGTGTTTAGATGTGCCTTCAGCTTTCACCTGCCACCAGCTAGAATCTGCCGGCGGGATGCGGCAACGTCTGACACACGGGATGACTTCAGGGATCTGCTTGAACTGGATTTGAAAAATACACCTGCTCCACTGACCCACCTGGAATTTTTCCAGCAAGACAGTGGCTGCTCAACAGCCTAAAGCACTGCTTAAACCTGTCACATCTGACTGGTGAGTGCTACTGGACAGCCTGCTTAATGCAGCAGCAGTCTTAGTAGCGTGGTCGACAGGTAAGGAGATTATGACTGCCACAAAGTGGGGGTGACAGGGCCCCTCTGGCCATTTACTTGGTAAGCAGAGGGGAGAAAGAGCAGAACATCCTTGTTGACATCACAGGCCCAAGCTCATCATTTTACTTTGCTTGTTTTTGTATGATTAAAGCCACTTTGTTGGTATTTACCAGTGTAAGGTGTAGGTGTCAGCTTACGCAAACCCATCAGCAGGAGGTCTCACCCAAGAGACCAGAACTGGCAGCTATTTTTTGTCAGCCTCACCCAGCAGAGCCCTTCCCCTACCTCCATGACAAGTTGGTGAGCACGGGAGACCAGCGTGAGACCATTGGCATGGTTAAATGTTTCAGAAATATCTTGTCCAAACGTGTAGCCAGCACCACGTGGAGATATACCCCAGCCACCGCGGTCGTCCGGATCCGACCACAAGAGATCACACATGGGACCCTTGAGAAAGAGGGAGTGTTTTCAGTAGATGAGTAGCAAGAGCAAGATAAAAAGCCACTTGTAAAACACGTTATTGGCAGGAAAGAGACTGCCAGTGTGCCCTTCTCTGCACAGGGTGCTTGAGGTTTTTTTAACAGAGTAGTAGTAGGTAGTTACTCCCTGTATCAGTCAGCAATGAGTTGCTACAGTGCTGAGTAAGAAAACAGTCCATGGAACCAGAACCATGGAATCACAGAATGGCTTGGGTTGGAAGGGACCTTCCAGATCATCCAGTTCCAATCCCTCTGCCATGGGCAGGGACACCTCCCACCAGCCCAGGTTGCTCCAAGCCCCATCCAACCTGCCCTTCAACACTGCCAGGGATGGGGCAGCCACAGCTTCCCTGGGCAACCTGTTCGTGTCTCTCACCACCTTCACACTGAAGAATTTCTCCCCACCCCCTCTCCTATGTACCATTTTGCTCCAACTAGTTGGAGCTACAAAGACACAGAGAGCAGATCCCCCTTCTCACTGCTGACCCTCACAGAAGAGTGAACAAGGCCACATGAGAAGGCCCAAGGACACAACATCAGGTCCACTGCTGCCAGCCAAGCTGCAATAAATTAAAGAATGGGAAACGACCCAAAAAAGGTGGGTCCAGAGACTGATGTGAAGCCCTTAGCAGCCCTCCCAGCAGGGTATTCATAGTTTAATTTCCTCTCCTCTTGTTGGATTTGACATTCTCAAAAAATATCCTGGTGTGCAACATGTAAGAGCCCCAGATGAAGCTCAGCACTGTCTTTCACGGAGCTACTCAGGGGCAGAGATGAACCACAAGCACTTCCCCGAGCCTGCTGCTACTTCCCACCCTCTGCCCTGAGTTCTGCAGCAAGGACCACACTGACAGCATGTGGAGGTCCCCAGGACAGCCAGATTTCAGCACAGGACTGGGAAAACCCCTGAGCAGCAACATAATCATGTCACCTAACTATAGGCAGACACCCCACCAATTCTAGGGGTTGTTAGTAGAGCTTATTTCAGGTTTTTGGGAGATCTGGGCAGATCTGGCTGCATTGCTCTTGCTCTTATGCCAAATAATTTGCAGAACAAGCAATTTGTTTTAATCAGGGAACATTCAAGGCCTTTTTGAAGCCCTAACCACTCCAGTTGTCACGCTGGGAGCTCAGGTGGTCTCTCTAGTCAGAACCTCAGGCCCCCAGAAAGTTCTTGAGCAAGATGAAACACCACAGAAGACAGGACTGGCTGGGGAGGAAGGATGGTGACATAACAGCTTCGTGTGGTGGTTGTCTGCTCACAAGCAAGCCTGTGATGAGGCTCAAGGTAGGAGACACTTCCCCTGCCAAATACTATTCTTTGAGGCAGTGTGACAGTCAAAAAATCCCATGGCTCTGTGAAAATCAGCCGTGGAGACCCCACAGCTCTCCCTTTTCCTGTAACCAAAGCACTGTGACTTGTGTGTCCAACGTGCCCAAACGGATCTTCATTTCCTCCAGCCCTTAGGGCAGCAATCATCTGCTGTGTCACTGCACTTCTCATTGCTTAACCTGAGGTCACATTTGCATTTTCAACCCACAAGACACATTTCCCTTCCTGGTACCTCGTGTGGAACTTCCTGCAGGCGGTCCAGAGCCCTGATATGATCCAGTGTATCTATGGATGGAGAGAGGCCACCGTGGAGACAGAATATCTGTTCCAGACAAATACAAAAAAAGAAAAGCAATCTGTTCAGTGCGTATTGTTTTGGAAGATCCACCTCAGCAAATGGCTGCTTTGAACTCTGTTACCATTCTTTCACCTCTACAGCCATCTCCCCCTTGCAGCAGAGAAAACCAATTTCATCTGCCCAGAAGGGAACACAGCTAAAAGGCTGCACCTTGCACAGAGAGATCAGAGTGTCACTCTTCTAAGAAGATCTTGCCTCCCAGCCCCACCTCAACTTGCACCTGATTCATCCTGAGGGGTCCCCCACTTGTTGAGTGGCCATTTAAGACGAACCAGATGTGCAGCACCTTGCCATTCCTTCAGCAGAAGGACAAACAGCCTTGCCACACCACCAGTTTCTATTAGCACCTCGCCAAGTTCTTCCCCAAACCCACAATAAAGGGCTTTAAATATATTAATATTTGGATCACGAGTTCATAGAACCAAGGTTGGAAGGGATCAGCAGGTTCCAACCCCCCCACCACAAGCAGGGAACCCTCCCACTAGAGCAGGTTGCACAAAACCTCACCCAACCTGGCCTTAAAAGTTAAGGGAGCTCGTTTGAGACTGTTCCTGGAGAGCTCGGCCAACACAGGCTGTAAGAAACAGCTCTTCCTTCCTTGAGGCTTACCTGGCCATCTACTAGAGCTGTAAGGGGAAGGTAATCAAAGAGGTCTGTGAAGTACTTCCAGACGTTGGCGTTGCCGTACTTGCGCAGACACTCGTCGTAGAAGCCGTACACCTGGGTGATCTGCCTGCTCTCGTGGTTGCCCCTCAGGATGGTGATGCGCTCAGGGTAACGCACCTGCCCACAGGGAAACTCCTCGTTAGCACCAGGATTGGGCCCTCCAGGTGGAAAGGAACACTTCAGGGTATTCCAAAGTAATGGAGTCACACACGGGCACTGCGCTGGCTTGGTTTGGGGGGGTTTTTGGCAGTCGGGGAGGGGCCCCAGGGGTGGCTCCTGGAAGAAGCTGAAGAGCTCCCTTCCAGCTCCAAACCCAGCTGGGCAAGAAGCCATCAGAGAGACAACAGATGCACCTCTGTGATTGACATATGAAATAACAGAAATAAGAGCTGAGCAGAACAAGCAAGTAGGAAGAGCTGAGCTGGAAAGACAGAGCAGTGCTGGTGGTTGGTGAGGGAGGAGGGGAAGAAGGTGCCCAACCAGTTTCCCTGCAACCTATGCTGAGATGGCAGCTGTCCCCCTGCACCCATGGAGGAACGTGGTGGAACATTCCCTGAAGGAGCCAGGAGGGGTGTGCTTTGATTTGCTGCCTGTAGACTTGGATGATGCAGCTGTGGAAGCCCCTGGGCCAGGGGAGGTGCCTGTTCCCAAAGCCCCCGTGACTCTGTGGCTGGAGCAGCACTGGACCTGGTGGGAAGACCTCATGGAGGAGAGGTTGATGGAAGACTCTGCCATGGAAGGGAACCCGTGGGGAAGCAGGGAATACTGTGAGGAATCCTTCTTCCTGAGGAGGAAGGAGTAGCAGGAATCGTCAGCCTGTGAACTGACTCTAAACCCCATCCTCATCCCCCTGTGCGTCTGGGGGGAAGGAGGGAGAGAAACCAGGAACAAATGGATTTGGGCCCAGGAAGAAGGGAGTGGGGGGGGTAACATATGCAAGCCCTGCTCTGTGTGTGTCTGTGTCCTGTGGGTGAAAACAAATTATTATTATTTTTCACCAAGTTAAGTCTGTTTTGTCTGGGACCTCAATCAGTGAAGAGCCCTCCTTGTCCTTGTCTGGACCCATGAGCTTCTAGTTGGGTTTGTTCTCCCCATCCCAGAGTGTGTGTGAGGGGTGGAGTTGGCTGAGTGGCCACAGGGCTGGTTCTTTGTTGTTGTGTGAGGCCCAAATCATGACATTTAATAACACATTTCCATTTACATCCATCTAGCTCAAGCCAATGGTAGCACCAACAGGGGGAACAATTCCTTCCGAACTCCCCCCAAAACGTGGTGTTGCTGCCCAGGGCTGACTTGTAAGAACTGTCACATCATACCTTTAATGCTACTAGGAGAGTCACCGTTTCCACCGAGTAATAGCCTCTGTCCACGTAGTCTCCCATGAACAGGTAGTTGGTGTCTGGTGACTTCCCACCAATCCTAAAGAGTTCCATGAGGTCGTGGAATTGACCGTGGACATCCCCACAGACGGTGACGGGGCAACGTACCTCTTGAACGTTGGATTCTTTTGTAAGGATTTCTTTAGCCTGGCAAGAAAGACACAGGTAGGACAAAAAGGTAGGGACCTCCTGCAGAAGCAGGAGGAGCAGTTGTTATCCCATGGAACCCCAGCTTCAGCCCAGCAGCTCAAGATGACCACCAGGAAACCTATGACCAAGCACATCTTACAAATCCCTGTGCACAAAGACCAGCAGGTTTGCTGCTGTGAGGCCAAGTCATGAAGGTCGTCTTGTATCACAAGTACTGACAAACAAGGTCAAAGCAGTAACTATACAAGTTAATTCCCAGACTCCCCTGAAATGAAACAGAACTTCCAAGACTTGCACTGGATCCGTGACTTCCATCATCTCTGGGGCTGACCCATGAGGCCTGTGCTTCCTCCCAACATTTCTCAGTGCAGTCAGGATGAAGCACTGTTCCAGTGAGCTTCATCAGCATCGTGGGCAGATGTTCTCAAGCACAGCTGATTTATTTTTTTCCACATACCATTTTGGATAGATTTTTCCATCAGAGCTCAGGTCTGCTCACCTCAGCTACATGAACTATGCCAGCACTTTCACGATACCCAGGAGCTTTCACCTCAAGGACCACAGCTGTCCCCTCAGTCTTGCAGGCCACCTCACATCCTGTCAGCAACAGCTCAGTGCCAAACTCACACAACTCAAAACTCTCAGCATCTGCTGTAAGGGCAGAAATACCAGAGGAGATAGTGCAGCCCACCCAGGCGGCCTTCATAGGCTTCTGAACAACCCGATTTGCAAAAGCACAGATCCAGCTGGGTATTTTGGCCTGCAAGGTGTCTGACAGAAGTGATCTGACTTGCAGTGATGCACTCACAGGCTCCCTCCTGCCACGTTTTAGTCTGACAACCATCTCAGCTGCTCAGTGGATTCCTCTTGATCCCAGGCAGCCACATGGAACTGTTTGCCTTCCCACCTTGGCTGGAAACACTACATCAGGCTGGAGAACTCTTCTGCCAGCACCAACAGCTCCTCCTCTGGGATCTCCCAGGCTTTGTGGCACCAGTGCTTTTGTGTGGACAAGGGCAGCTCCCAGTGGTGCCACCATGCAGAGAGGATGTCACTAGGGGAAGGCTGCACATGACCAAGCAGCTCAGCTGGCAGCAACGCTGGGCAACCACTGTGGGACCAGCTGAGCTGTGCTCCTCTGCCAACCAACCACCCAGGCAGGAGCAGTGCCAGGGGCTGCCCCAGCTCTCCAGGGCTCCTGCACTCTCAGGTCACCTTGTGGTGCACACCAGATGACTGGAGCCGTGTTTCAGGAAAGGGAACCCTCTCCAGGACACACGGGAATGAACAAATCCATCTTCCTTGCAAAAGCGACAGTTCTGGACCCCTCACTACCAGAAGGATGTTGAGTTGCTGGAGCAGGTCCAGAGGAGCTACCAAGCTGTGGTGAAAGGTCTAGAGAATAAGCCCTGTGAGGAGAGGCTGAGGGAACTGGGACTGTTTAGTTTGAAGAAGAGGAGGCTGAGGGGAGACCTCATTGCTCTCCACAACTCCCTGAAAGGAGGGTGTAGGGAGGTGGGAGTTGGGCTCTTCTCCCCAGTGAATAATGGCAGGGCAGAGGAAATGGCCTGAAGCTGCATCAGGGAAGGTTTAGACTGGAGATTACAAAGAGTTTCTTTACCCAAAGAGTGGTTGGACAGTGGAACAGGCTGCCCAGGGAGGTGGTGGAGTCACCATCCCTGGAAGTGTTTAAAAGGAATGTAGATACAGTGCTTAAGGACATGATTTCAGCACTGAAGGGGTAAATTAGCTTATGGTAGGGGGATTTAGGTTGTGGTTGGACTTGATGGTCTTCAAGATCCCTTCCAACCTGGATGATTCTATGATTTCTTCTTCATGCTGATGCTGCCAAGGAAAACAAGCATTCCTTAGCTTCACATGACTAGCCTGGCACAGAATATCACTGCATCTGTGAAAGGTGCTTCTCTAGCCCCAGGCACTTCTTGCCTTCAGGATTCCCAATCCCCCTCCAGGCACAACAGTTTAACAGCTTCTAAAGGCAGGCCAGGTCCAACTGGAAAAGCCAAGTCAGAAGCAATTTAAACATATGGAGCCACAACCAGCTTCCCTGGCCGTGCCCAGCTGGCAACAAAATGACCACAGATGGAGGGTTGGCATCCCTGGATTTAGTCATCTCTTCCTCTAGTCCCAGCAGCTCCTCTGCTAATTACAGCGATGTAATGGAGCCTATCTGCATTACCTGATTGGTGTTATTAAGCAGAGTGTTTGTTCTGCTGCCTCCAGCTCACCAAGTGATGCAGATCAGAGCTCCAGGCACATCTGAGGCACAGAGAACACTCACAGACGGGCTCGGTCCTATCTGAACACAAGGGATGTAAGATCACCAGTGCTGAACAGCCACCAGCAGGCTACTGTCCAGCTATCCATTGCCAGGACCCTCAGCTCAGGATGATATAGCTCCCACCTGATGTTACCAGGAGGAAGCTGGACACCTTCAGTGGGTTCAAGGATGCCTGTGTTCACATTCAAACATTAGTTGCCTTGCCCCTTCTAGGAAAGTGCATATTGGGAAAGAACACCTGCAACCCAAGCAGTCAGGGGCTTGGGGAACATCCAGCATTGCCCTGATCCTCAAAGACACATCCTACACATGGACTTGATGGCATGGGGTCCACCTTGCAGGTTCTCCACTGACTGGAAACTGCTGAACATGCTGCATCTTGAGTGCAACAGCAGCACTGGAATTCCATTCACACACCTTGAACACACCTTTTGAGAGCTTCTGCTCTCCCAGAGAGACAAATACAGATGCATAAAAAGAAATACACTTACTTCAAGCCTCTGGGGGAAAGATGCAGGACACTGTACAGGCACCATTACATACTTAGCAGTGTCTCAACCACATCATCACTCTCTATCTCCCTGATCCACCCCAAAAACCCAGGCACCCATCCTGAGAACACATCCAGGTAAGACAGCATGGCCAGTAGAGAACAGCTCCTTCTTAACAGGACAAACACACCTTAAACACACCCTAGGAAGGTGAGCCAGCCTGAGCCCTGAAATTTTGGTACTAAGAAGAATCCGGAAGTTTCCCCTCAGGAGACAGGAGGACCTAGCAGCTGAAGAGCAGCAGCTTCTCAAGCTGCCTATCAGCTGTTACCATGGAGCCCATTTTAGCTTACTATGTAGACAAACACATTAACAGACAAATAGAGCTGGTTCAAATTAGGCTTGGGAGCTCAGCATGGCTGCCCACAGACGTTTGCCCTCACGTGACTTTCCAATGCAGAACAAGACCTTTAAGATGTTCATCATCATGAAAAAAAAGGCCAGAGAAGCAGCAAGGAACCAGCAGGCTCTGCTCACACGTCTCACTGTGCAGACCTAATGCTCAAGTCAAGTGACTTAAAATGACAAAACAAGGATAACAAACTGATGCAACTGAGCTGTCCTGATGATCATCGTTTACCCACCTAAGAAAGTTGTTAAGCAACTTTGTGTTCCAGCTACCTTTGCTCTAGAATGTGGTGACAAACATTATCAGCTTCCTAAACCTGTGCCCCAATTGTTTTGGATTAAAACCATATCCAGGTCAGAAGGTAAAGCAGCAGTTTCTAGGTATTTTCATCAAATGAGCTTCCACTAAGCACTAAAGTCTGTGCCCAAAATTGCTTTAAAGATTAGGCTACCTGTTGGCTGTGAGGTTGCCCATCATCTCACCTCTCTCTCTTTCCCAGGTTTAGATCCTCTAGATCACTTCTGTGGACTGGCACACAAGCTGTCTGGTCCTCAGTCCACGTGGAGGGAAGCTGGAAAATGCATGTGCCAAGGATTTGCTGTGCTGTCCCCAAGAAAGCAAGCTCTGTGGTTGAACCACAGAGGCCAGCATGGAGTTCTGATCACAATTCAACTGAACCATCCTCCCATCAGCTGCCACAGACCAAACCACTGTATCAGCATGTGTGCTGAGGATATGAACATCTCAATGAGCTTGGCCTGAACAGGAACCAGCTGGGTTCTCCCCAGATGAGATGGAGATCGAGATGGAGATGTCCTGCCCTCCAGCAACCAGGCAGCAGAGGAGAGTCTGGAGTGATAGGGACCATCAGGGTGCACACGTGCTCCTAGAGCCAACACACCCTAGGATGAGTGTCACTGCTGGAGAGCTGCAACATTCCTGGCCACCACTCAGCCCAACACTGGGAATTTCATGGTTTGAACAGCGTCCAGGATGCTACTTGGCTCCATCACTAGTGCTAATTTCCCCAATTAGTGCAGGAGAGCTTGCTAACCCTCCTAAAATTACTCTGAGGTGAGATGACCTCGGGAGGGCAGAAGCACCAGCAGGGCGTTCCAGGAGCTGCAAAGTTCCCCTCCAGGGGCAAACGGCTCCTGCTGCGTGGTTGGGAGGATCACGTTACAATCGCCATTCAATGCAAGAACTGCTAGTCCCGGCGATTAGAATCCTTCCCCTCCCACCACTTTGCAACACAAAGCTCTCAAGCTGCTCGCAGCAACGAGACTCTCACCCTCCCTACCCATGCAGAAACGAGCGTAGGAAAAAAAAAAAAAAGCAGCTACAGCTAGAAGGATGGTATAGATGGTTTCTTGCCTTTCACATCCCATTTTATTACCTTGGTGACAAACCCTTTTTTTCCGGGGATAAGCAGGATGGTTCTCAACTCCCTCACCAGCACCAGAATTCATGTGCTGACCTGACATGAACTTGACAGAACATTCAAAGACTTCCGTGTCCAACCTCAGGAGCATTTCCTACTAAATGAACTCGGCCTTTGCGTGGTTGGGAGGATCACGTTACAATCGCCATTCAATGCAAGAACTGCTAGTCCCGGCGATTAGAATCCTTCCCCTCCCACCACTTTGCAACACAAAGCTCTCAAGCTGCTCGCAGCAACGAGACTCTCACCCTCCCTACCCATGCAGAAACGAGCGTAGGAAAAAAAAAAAAAAAAGCAGCTACAGCTAGAAGGATGGTATAGATGGTTTCTTGCCTTTCACATCCCATTTTATTACCTTGGTGACAAACCCTTTTTTTCCGGGGATAAGCAGGATGGTTCTCAACTCCCTCACCAGCACCAGAATTCATGTGCTGACCTGACATGAACTTGACAGAACATTCAAAGACTTCCGTGTCCAACCTCAGGAGCATTTCCTACTAAATGAACTCGGCCTTTGAGCCTGACCCCAGCTGTCCAAAGCCCAGCTGACAACCTGTGCAAGCTCAAAGGCAGCTCGATGAAGCCAGCCCTGCCCTCCTATCAGCACCCAACAATTTCAGCACAGAAAGCACCTTCAATGAAGTGCAGACATAATCCAAGGCAGAACTCTACGCATTTTTTCACTGCCTATTTAGTGAAAACAAAATTCTGCCACTAAGAGAGTCTAAGACCATGATGTTAACAGAAGCAGTATGAGATGCCCGACATCATGTTTCCCCACATGCTGGAACAGTTTACAAGCTCCAGCAGTGATCACAGTTGTTTTTCCTTCTACTATGCTTTAAATGTCAGCACGATTTTAGCTGGATTTCATTTTCAAGACCAGCAGAACGGGAAACGAGTGTTCTCCTGTTGTCTTGAGATGACACCTTCACTAACTGCATGAAGAAGACAAGATTGATTAGCTGCCAAAACGGTGTCGTAACTGGGCAGGTGAAGACAGAGTGGGATTTTTACAGGTGCAAATGTCCAGAACTTCCAGGGTGTGGAATGATTTGGTGCACCTTCATCAACCCTAGCTATGTCCAATCCTTCCCTCATTGCTGCCCATCATGCTAGTAATTAAAACTCTACCCAAGCAAGTCTGGGATTTGTTTCTTTGGGTTTGGTTTTTTTTCCTTCCCTCGTTTTGATTGAAATATTTCTTTAATCTTTTTTTCTTTTTTTCTTTCACAAACATAAACCTGAGACAAGAGCCTCTATTGTACTTGACCTCTGAAGAAATGAGTCACACAACAGGGAGTGCTCGAAGATGGACAAGGTTGGTAAAGGTTTCTCGTAATATTATCTCAAGGAAACAAAACTAAACCAGCTTTCTGGCAGGGCTGCCTAACACCAAAAGCAGGCCCACACACCCAGAAGTTTTGGCAAGCTCCTTTCCACACCAGCTGGATGGTACAACCACTCCCCTAAGCTTTAAGAATAAGGCAGGGAGGAGTATTTACTTCCCGGCCTTGAAGAATGAGGTGCTGTGACAGATGACGTGTGCTCCACACAAGCTCAGGGCTCCTACCTGCCACCCGGAGGACAAACAGCCTCTTCAGCTCCAGCTGAGCTGCCCCTCTCCCTGTTCACTGGGTGATGCCTGACCTAGAGCCACAAACTGCTGGCACTGTCCTCAAAACACAGCAGCCACAGCTCCTGAATTAACAAGGCAGCTGCAGAAGAAGGGAAATGGTTTTCTGTGACAGCTTGCTGGTTAGAACAGCAGCTCCCAACCAGCAGTGCTTGGAGCAGGGGACAGATCACACTAATTAATTATTTCAGGCTTATTTCAGGGCAGCCAGGAGAAGCTCTTACTCTTCAAGAAATCTCACTCCTCACACCACTGCTGTTGCTGCCTGCTGTAGCCTTTACCTCACTCCTCTGGGGAGTATGACATAAAACAAGTGCAGAACCCTAGCACGGGACTAAAAACAGGGAAAGGGGGAAAGAAAACAGAAGCAGGGTGGAGGTGGGCTAGATGTCAGGACCACTGGTGAAGGCATTTGACAGGAAGTCAGAGCCTGGAGTCCTTCAGAGTCTCTACCTTTGGCATCCAAACACGCAGCTCCCACCTTTCCAGTGAGCACATGAGGAGGCTGCAGCACAGACCCTCACTGCTGCTTCAGCTCTCATCACTGTGGGAGTGCACCGAGGAGAAAATAGCCTCCTGAAGTCAGCACTGAGATGCAAGGCCAAAACACGCTGCCAGGAACAGGCATCAGCAAACATGTTGCACTTGGGAGAGAGCTCAGCCAGACGTGCAGGTAAACGAGGTGACCACACCAAGTCCAGCACCAGCCACACGACACCCCAGGGAACAGTGAACTAACCACCCTCTGTGCTTAACAACCATCAGCCCTTCCTTCCATCCCAAGGAAGGAAGTGGAGCACTTCCCTGGACCATCTGAGGCACAGCAATAGTCTCTGCAGGTCACTGAGATGAGAAGTGAACAGAAAGAATCATCTTTGTTACAACACTTGCTACCCCTTCAACTCTTTTTAATTGTTACATCTTGTCCAGTCCAAAGAAAACTCCCAATTTAGGCACAAACTGCAGTAGAGGGAGTGTTCACACAGAGGTACTTCACAGGCAAAAGGCAAGTCTAAAAGAGCAAGTCTCCCAGTGCAAAACCAAAGTAAAATTAAGGCTCTTGAGAGTCTACACTAAACAACTCCAAACAGGAATGTACCAAAGGACTGTCCAAACCACCACCCAAAATAGCAGACTGTGCCCTTTATCCAGCCATTTCTCCTTCTATTTTTGTCTCCCTCAGCAGCCACTACCCCTGCTCAGGTCGGCACCACAGTCTATCTCTGATCCCCCTCTGCCCTCCTGGAATACACATCGGATGTCGGGTTTCCTCAAAGATTTAGGGCTGACTTTTCAGCACGTGGCTAAGATACATCAGTGCATCAAACAAGTGCAACCCAAGGCCCCTGGAAGACAGAACAGATCCCCACCCTGCACAAACCACCCGAGTGTACACGATCCCAAAGTGAACAGATAGAAACCGGGGTAGCGATGGCAGCCACGTGTGTGAAAAGCACCCACAGAACCACACAGAGCCACACAGAGCCACACAGAGCCACAGAGCCACACAGAACCACACAGAGCCACACAGAGCCACACAGAACCACACAGAGCCACACAGAGCCACACAGAGCCACACAGAGCCACACAGAGCCACAGAGCCACACAGAACCACACAGAGCCACACAGAGCCACACAGAACCACAGAGCCACACAGAACCACAGGATCACACAGAACCACAGGATCACACAGAACCACAGAACCACAGAGTGACACAGAACCACACAACCACACAGAACCACATACAACCACACAGAACCACAGAACTGCACAGAACCCCAGGATCACAAAGAACCACACAGAGCCACAGAGTGACACAGAACCACACAGAACCCCAGGATCACACAGAACCTCACGGAGCCACACAGAGCCACAGAACCACACAGAGCCACAGAACCACACAGAACC